TATATATGAATGACAGTTGCAGTGTCCCAGGTCACATGATCACTTAACAACTGTGCGAGAAAGGTTGCAAAATGGGGTCAAACTCACTTAAGGAATGTCTCACTTTGCAGCATAAATTTCGGGCACAATTGTGGTCTTTTGTTGTAAGACTACCCCATATTTAGAAATCGATGGCTGTGAAAGACTGTCCATCTGCCAAAACTGCCAGAGTGCAAAAAAACCTCAGAATTTCCCTGGCTTCTTTGTTTGCAAGTGTAAAAAAAGGAAAGTAGTCCAGAGCCTCTGATTCTAGCAATATCCATATATTAGTGGGGAGTGACAAGTGCATCGGAAGGGAGAAAAGATCACAAAGATGAACTCTTAACTGGTTTCCTTTCATCTCTCTTAAAAAAAAAAAAAAAAAGAACTGCCCAGGGTTCTGTTCTACTTTTTAATTATTCGATGTGACCCCCCCCCCATTCTCTCCTGCCGCCCTTCACTCTCCTACCTTGCAGTGCCACCGTTTCCCCATTTACAGAGCGGTGAACAGGGACAATTGCGGCCTTTTTCAATACATAAATAAGAAAAAGGGGTTGCTCAAGTTCAAAACCTTTCCTTCATTACATCTGTCTCCTGCCCTTGGTTTTGGTCCGTTTCCTCTAGCTCTGAGAAAGCTCCGCTGCCTCCATAATTTTTCACTTTGCTCGGCCAGTGGAACAGACAGGCGCTTACAGTACAGCAGGAGGGTGTGGAAGGAGGGAAAACGGGATGCTTGTCACCCCTTCCCCTGTGGTCTCCCTGAAGCTTTTTCTAAGGCCGCTGCTGCGGCTTTTCATAAGGGGGATAAGTCAGTCAAAGGAGCCAACAAAAGGCAGCTTGAATAAGGGCTTTAAAACTAGGCTGGGTTGGCAAGACGGTTTTCTCCCTTCAACTTACCTCCTACCCTTCTGACAGCTGATTATTTCTGCCTAGCAGGTGTAGATATCCACAATAGAAGAATGCTGTGTTCAAGGCAGAGGGCAAGAATGTCATTCAGTCAACCCAAAAAAGCATAAACCAATTTCAATTAAAGGGTGTAAAGCCCTCCCAGAACCAAACCATAAATCGGGGAAATTGGCTCAGATGGAGGGGAGCCTGTGAATGAAAGTTTTTTTTTTTTAATTGTTGAGTGCTTTGGGGAGGGAGCGAGGGAGGGGAGGGCCTGATCTGCCATGTGGAACATTTCTTTCTTTTCCCCCCTCCCCACTTTTGATGTGCCCTAGAGGTATGCAGCATTTAAGGGACCCCTCTCTCTTCCTGCTGAAAGATTCAGAGGGTGGGATGGGTAGTGGAATCAAAAGAGATTGCTGTAAAAGTGGGGAGCCTCTTTTAACAACACGATTTGAATTCCCTGACTCTCTGCCAAGCATCCCTGCACAGGATTCGTCTTATATATCCTAGAACATACCCCATAGGTACTAAAAAATAAAGCTTATTGCTTATTGGTTCTCTCTTGCAACAATTGTGAGAAAAGGAAGAACGTGCTACAGCAAGATATTTTAAAGGGCTTCCTGAGTTTGCATATGTGTGTTTATACATTACAGTACACTAAATTACAGGTAGTCCTCAACTTACAACAGTTCATTTAGTGACTGTTCAAAGTTCTAAAAAGTGACTTATGACCATTTTTCACCACTTACAACCACTGAGGTGTCCCCTTGGTCACGTGATCAAAATTCTGACACTTGGCAACTGAGCCGTATTCATGACTGTTGCAGTGCCCTGGGGCATTTTTGATCCCCTTTTGCAACCTTCTGATAAGCGAAATCAATGGGGAAGCCAGATTCGTTTAACATCCGTGTTGCCAACTTAACAGCTGCAGTGATTCCCTTAACAAATTTGGCAAGAAAGGTCGTAAAATGGGGCAAAACCCACTTAACAAATGTCTCATTTAGCAACAGAAATTTGGGTCACAATTGTGGTTGAAAGTTGAAGATTACCCGTATACCTTAAATAACATAGATTAACTGACTATGAAAAGAAAAAATCCCATTATCATGTAAATTTCAAATCCCATTATCATATAAATATCACTTTCTCTCCACTGTCTTCCCTCAAAGGGGGGGAAAAATATTGACAATACCTGCCAAATCATTTGAAGATATTTACCTCCAACATTACAACTCCACTCATCCTCAAAGATTGCCCTTGTTAGAGAGTTTTAAGGTAGCCAGATTTTGTCATTATGGCTGAACTGAATGTTATTAGGGGAGCTCCCAGATTAAAAAATAGTTCTTGGAATGAAGTAGGGTCTGACTTTGTTTCAAGACACCTTAGTTTAATTGTGCCAAGCTTTCTAGATGTTATAATATATTGTAACTAGTCAAACAACAGGAAGCAGAAGTTACTGATCATTTATCATGCAGTGAAGGATGGTTTCTTTTTGTATCTGAATGGCCAACCTTGGCAAAGGATCCTAAACTACATGAGCTTTGAGAAGTAGAAAGCTTTCTTCCTTTCTAAAGGAATGCATGCTATGCTCTCTGTGAAAAAAAGAGATCTCCGTTGTAACTTCGTATTTTACAACTGAGCTTGCAAACAATGGCAGAAGGCAATGCCACTAGTCTCTAAATCTTAAGAGAATAAATGATCTCTCTCTCTCTCTCTCTCTCTCTCTCTCTCTCTCTCTCTCTCTCTGTGTGTGTGTGTGTGTGTGTGTGTGTGTCTCCCCGTCTCCCACCCCTCCTCTTAATACTCTGCCAGGCAGAGCTTCCATTCAGAAGCCCATAGGAGGCAACCCATTGAGACCCTTCATTGTTGTGGCCTTCTTTCAGGGATGCAATTCATGACCTCATCCTGTGACCTACAGGCACTTAAGGGCAAGGTAAAGGAGGGGTGAAGCAGCCTGGACTGGTAACCAAAAGCAATAGAGCTCTTGTCCCTTTTAAACATTAGGAAGAAGGGGGGGATTTTAGCAGGACTTTACTCTCTTGTGGTACTAAAATGCTAAGCTGCACCTGCTAAACTCCCCTTTATTGATGGGCCGGCTCAGAACTAGTATAGTCAAGTGATTAAGAGACTGAGCCCTGAAGCAATAGGGACTTGTTTTCAAAGGTTAAGTTTGGCATAAATTTACTAAGTAGCCTCGTTTGAATGGTGCTTCTCTCAACCCCCATTTTCTGCAGTATGAAACTCAAAGTAGCATCAAATGTATTGATTGGGGTGATGTTTAAATAGCCGGAGATACTGCGTTGACTCTGAGAGAGTCCATATACCTTAATTAAAACAACTGAAGATTTATAAAATAGTTACAAGCTTAGTGTCAAACATGGGTCTACAAGCAGAGGAAGGGGAAATACGTATGCCCAGGTTCATTCGCACAGCACTAAGCAGTAGTTTAGTATTATATCTGAACGTCTAGTTTTGGTGGTTTGTGGTATGGCAATAGGAGGTCTTCAGATCAAGAACTCACATGCTTTGACAAATTATAGATCTTATACCCAGTATTTTAGACATATATGTTAGCTCATATGGCCATCTTAAGCTATATGGGCAGCCAAGCATAATAGTCAGGACAGATAAGTCCCAGAACCCTGGAGAGTCCAAGCTAATTTGGAAAATTCTGGCATTGGAAGGACATAATGTTTAAATTCCACATACTGAGAACACGTAGTAAAGCACATTTTGTCCTATAGACAAGTTTGTTCTTGGGATGTAGTCATTTTCTCAGATCCTGAATTAAGAGATTACAGAGTCGTAGAAAGAGAGTTTATTGTTGTGTTTGTCTGCATGTTAAAACTGAAATAATATCTACTTACAAGAAGGCTTTTCTTGAATAACCCCAAAATGCTAAAAAAAAAAAAAATGTATTAAACACCATATAACTCTATAACTCTTGGATGCAGAGCCTATCTAACCGAAATGAAAAAGTGTTCATTACCTAATTAATGTAACGCTCCTATCTAATCTTAGTTGTAATTTAGATTTAATGTTCTTTTTGCAGGTGCATCGATCAAAAGTTCAAACGCTGCCCGCCCCTTCCGACCACCAGTGTCATTATTGTCTTCCATAATGAAGCCTGGTCCACGTTGCTTCGCACTGTCTATAGTGTGCTGTACTCTTCTCCAGCTATATTGTTAAAGGAAATCATTCTTGTAGATGATGCCAGTACAGATGGCAAGTATAATCCCTTTGAAAGTGTGTGTGCCTGTGTATTGTTCCTGAAAGATGAACTACTCTGTATGTAAGAAATACTTTAAGACTTTTGGATCATAATATCCTATTTGCCATAAGAACTAAATTACCCAATACCCGCATTTATATCTAGGGATAGGACAGCTAGTGTTCCTTTCTCTGTTGAACAGTCTAACTACTTTAATGTTAAGGACTATAAAAGGCAAAGCAAGGAAGGTCCTTGAAATTTCCTGTCTACAGTGAGCACCTGAACATCAGATTATAGGCATTCATTCTCTTCATCAACTTTGCCTTCCATGTTACGATGCATGACATGAAGAGAAACACATTCATTGTTTTGGAATAACAAGTAAAAATTCAGACCTGTTGCCAGTCCCAAAACAAGGTGTTTATATTAGAATACCTTGAATTAATTTTCTCTTACCTAAGGAATGGGCCAAAATTCCTACCCCTGATATAGGAGAAATGGATCACCAGTTAGCTTTCGGTTGCAGTTACTGAGCTAAAGTTAGTGCAGCCGGTTGCTCACTCTAAGGAAGCAATTATGATTTTTTTTTTATGCTGCTATCTCACGGGTTGTTTGACTTTCTTTATACAATAAATGAAGCAAGTGCCACATTTTGATATTACTCATTAACTCAAACTCTAGAACTCGTGTGAATATAATATCCTGCAGCAAAGATATTAAAAAAAAAATAGAATACCCAAATACCTTTTGGCAGAACTGTATTTAGCCTCTGTCCAAACTACTCTGCTGGGCAAGTTTAGAAACCGCAAGCTGTATTTAGCGATCTAAATTGGTTATACTTCAGATTAAGATAATGACATGGTTCAACTTATATACTGTGCTTATATATTGTGCCTCAGCTTGCTTTCCTGGCTCTCTGCTAGTCAAGGTTTTCAAAGGGCCAGTAAAGATACCACAGTGAATGGTTTCCTGAAGTTCTTTTTTTTTTTTTTAACATACCAATGAATTGCAAGTTTTAATACCAGTTTGTGCATACTATCTTACATATTGACCCATTATTTCTGCTTTTGTCTTAGATTTAAATCTTTCTCTTCTGCTCCATTCTGCATCCATTCTTTGCTTTCTCTCTAAATCCCAGCTTTTCCCCCTTCATGTGGAACAATACCATTTTCCAGGAGGGGAAGGAAGATTATTTTGGATGTTCCTCCCATGTATCTTTTCCTGCGTCCTTTTTACAATGTAATGTTTTATGCTAGCAGTTAGACAAATAACAGCACAACTAGCCAATATGAAATCTGCCATATTAATGAAAAAAAAAAAAACCACTGGAATGTATTTTTCCTTCTAGTTAGATTAGTGTTTTAACCACTTATAGAGCCAATCAAATGCTTACAGGTAGTCCTCAGCTTATGATCACAGTTGAGTCCAAAATTTGTGTTGCTAAGCAAGACAATTTTTAAGGGAGTTTTTAGACCCATTTTACAACCTTTCTTGCTGCAATTGTTCAGTTAGTAACACAGTTGATAAATGAATCTGGCTTCCCCCATTGACTTTGCCTGTCAGAAGGTAACAAAAGGTGACCCCGTGACACTGCAACCGTCATAAATACATGCCAGTTGCCCGGTGTCTGACTTTTGATCACATGACCATGGGGATGCTGCAACAATTGTACATGTGAAAAAAAGGTCATAAGTCACTTGTTTCATTGCTGTTATAACTTTGAACGGCCACTAAACAAATTACCATAAGTCAAGGACTACTTGTATTACCCCCAAACTGTGAAGAGAGATGAGTACAGAAAGTAGTAGGTGCAATCTTGTTCAGGTTCTTTGCTTTTAGAGGTATTGCAAGCCTAGGATAAGATGTGGAGGCTGACCAGCCTGTTTTTGAGAAATCCATGCTTTTGTGTCCAAGAGGCTCTGCATCTTTTCCAGTATTGCATATGCTGGCTGGGTCCTGCTTTTACCAAGTCAGATTATTGATCCTTGTAACCAAAGGTGTCTTCCATGGCAGAGTGTCAGAGAAAGGCAGAAGGCATCTACCTCCTTACAATGTTTTTCTGTAGCGCATAAATTAGGTTAGAAATGACAGTAGGGGCGTGCATAAGCGCACCAACGTGCCTACCGTCCCTGTCCTATTGTTTCTCTTATTCTTTTATTTTTCATATATGTACCCATTTCATGTATTCACAACTATGTATACTCTTATACTTATTATCTTGTAAACAATTGGCAAATCAAATAAATAAATAAATAAAATAAAATAAAAATTGAAAGGAAATGATTTCATCCAAAACTCCTGAGCTTCATGGCTATAGGTGATGCTATCCTTCTCCTAACTGGAAATTGTTCCACCACAGCATGCACTTTCTCTAACCCTTTCCCTTGTCCCAGTCATGCTCCTACCTACCCCACTCCCCAAAGAAATCTTAAATCATGGTTAATTCAACAATGGGAGTGAGTTCCACAAACTGGTGTTCCACAACTGGAAATAATGCGGTTGAGAAGGCCACTTGTGAGCAAACTGTTTATAAAGTTTCTTGCTTCTTTTATCAGATTAAGTAGATCTTATTTCCAGAAATAATAAGCAGCTTGTTCAAAGAGGTGTGGTTTTTGAAGCACTGTATTTTGAAAAGTTTAATGTCCCCTTTGACTGCTTTGCTGTAATTGCAACATTTAACTATGCAGCTATTTTAGAGATTCTGGCACATGATACTAGGCTGATACTGTATTATTTCTATGTTTTTCACTAAACCTGCCCTGCAGGAAAGGTGAGAAAGCTACTGCCTTCTGTGAAAAGCATGCAGATTATTGGCTGGCAGCCTGCCCTTTAAAAGAGTTACTTTAAAATTGAAGGGTAAAATACAAAGAAATAAATTGATTCTGAAGACAGATGAATTGCTAGAGTTGTCCTAAGATACTCTGTTGCTGGAGGTAGAACAGCAAATGTTTTCTTCATATAGTTGCATTAAAAAAAAACAACCCACCGAGTCAGAAAAGATCACAGATGATTCTCTCTGGGAGGCAAAAACAAAAAACAAAACAGAAAGAGAAATTCAATATCTAGCAATTTTCCGTGATACATCTTGTAGAAACTTTTCATTTTATCTCATGATAGGACCATTGCCACACAGTTCTAAGGCTTTTCTTTAGTCTTCTGCCTTCTTATAGTGGATGAGATGTTGCAGTTGTCTCTTTTCACATACCCCAAATAGATGCTTACGCAGAACATAGAATAATAGGGGTAGAAGGGGGCTTGGAAATCTTCTAGTCCAACATCTGCTCAAGCAGGATGTCAGTTACCCCAATTAAATCATGAGCCTCGAGCCGCACTCCCAAAACTAAAAAGGATTTATTTAAAGTTAACATTCTATGTCCGGCATTAACCTGGGCGTAGCCAACTCTGAGATACGTAATTCACTGTCACCCTTGATCCTGCTTTCCCCCCCACTCCTCTGGGTGTATCATCCAACGAAAAATGTCCATAGCCAAGAGTCATCAATCATGCTGTCCAATTAGATTTTTGCACGGCAGAAGCTTCAGTCATCAAATCCTTCAGTCATTGCTACTTTCTCATTGAAACTCCACCCCCTTTTTTCTGTTGTCAACTATAAAACATGTATACAAAATGTTTTATGAGTTGACACAGGAGACCCTATACCATGCTGGACAAATGGCTGTCCAGTCTGTTCTTGAAAATCTCCAGTGATGAAGTATCCACAACTTCTGAAGGTTAGTCATTCCACTGATCAATTGGTCTCACTGTCAGGAAATTTCTTCTTAGTTCTAGGTTGGCTCTCTCTTTAATGTTCTTCGACCTATTATTTCTTATCCTGCCCACAGGTGCTTTGGAGAATAGGTCAACCCCTTCTCCGTGATAGCCCCTCAAGTCCTGGAAGACTGCTATCATATCATTACTAGTCTTTCTCTTCCTTAGACTAGACATACCCAGTTACTGAAATCGTTCATCATATGTTTTAGCCTCCGGTCTCCTAATCGTTTTTGTTGCTCTTCTTTGCCCTCTTTCTAGCATCTCAACATCCTTTTTGTATCATGGTGATCAGAACTGGTTGCAGTATTTCAAGTATGCTCTTACATATGCAGTATAAAGTAGTACTATCACTTCACATGGTCTTGAAACTATCCCTCTGTTAATGCAGCCTAGGAGTGCATTGATATTTTTTGGGGCCAGCTTTTTGTACCAGATTAGTTCTCCAGCTGAGTCTTGGGCTTGGTGCACATATACAGATTTACTGTTCTCCGTCACATTCTCAACATCAGAATTTTGGGAGGAAGAGCAGCATTTTCCTTGAGCAATAGAGGAAAGGATACCTAAATTATGACTTCCAGACATCTTGGAATGCCTGACACAGCATTCTGAGCAGGAATTGTTGATACTTGTAGACAAAGGTCTATTGAGTTCTTCAAACATAAAAGACTTGTGTTCCTCTTTGAATCTTGTAGTGTTGTAATATAGAGATGCCTAGATGGATTATAAGTTGCTTTGCAAGCATTAACTCTCACCCCATTTGAATAAGCAGTTGCCTATCATTTTCTTCCTTAGCTGGGAATTTTCTTAACAAAAGGCCTTGCTTGCTTTGAATTGCTTTGAGCAAATATTCAGGATCATTAACTCTTTCCTGTTCTCATCTTAAGCTAACACCAGAACAGAAGGCAGGGCCAATGCTTAAGAAAATAGTGTTTATTAGTTAAGTAAAAGAGAGAGAGGTTTGCTATCTTTTTTGTTGTCTGTTATTTAGGCTGCATATATATATATACACAGGGAAATTTCAAGGTCAGTTTTGACCTAATTGCTCAGGAAATGTTACAATCAATTACAATTTAACTAGAGTTTTAATTAATATAAAGAACAAGTAAACTACCATTACTAATAATTCTTTTTAATATATATTTTAATACAGATAACTTACACTTATTGGGCTATTTTATTTAGATTTTTAATTGCTATTAGGCTCTGAAAACACACATGCACTCATACACAGACAGAAAACATCCCTATCTATCTGATTTTAGGCTTCCTCACTATAAATATTATGTTCTCCTGATAATAATATTTTTATCCTCCTTTTCCTGCGAAGTGTAAAACACAGTTTTGCTCTCACTCACTGCCTTTATGCTAACAGTCCAGGTAAAGTACAGATCTAAGGCAGGAATGGGATTCAAATTTTTTAACAACCAGTTCTGTGGGCGTGGCTTAAGTGGTGGTCATATGACTGGGTGGACATGGCTTGGTGGTCATGTTATTGCCTGGGGGTGGCCAACTCAATATCACTTACATCGAGGCACGCACCTCCTCGCCTGGCCTCTCATGACTGTGGGGATGCTGCAACAGTCAAAAGTGTGAAAAACAGTCATAAGTCACTTTTTTCAGTGCCATTGTAACTTTGAATGATCACTCCACACAAGCAAAGTACCAGCAAAGGAGGGGGAAAAAACTCCAGAGAAGTTCCAGAGACAGGAAGTCTAGTCCTGCCAAGAATGTAATAAGGGTTAACGGAAAGGCAGTTTCTGTAAGCAACACCAGAATGTTTCCTCCCTTCCTTCCTTACAGGATTAGGCCAGTAATTTCTTCTAACAACCGGTTCTCCGAACTGCTCAGAATGTTAACAAATGGTTCTAGCGAATAAGTGCGAACCGGTAGAATCCCACCCCTGATCTAAGGCCTTTATTGCTGTTCCTTCCTATTATTTGTTATCTTAAAACCAGATTTATATTGGGTAATCTTCAAATAGAGGGCTTGTCAAGAACAAGACACCACCATACCATTCTATCCACACTGAAGAATGAAATAAAAGTTTTAGCCCATTACCCTGCACATAATCTGTGAATTTTAAAGAGAATGAACTTCGTTAAAAAAACCTCTGGTTTAATGTGGGGAGACAATAATTCACTTGGCCACCTAGTTAACCTAGTAACAATTTTTATTGTTGAGGCTGTAGTAAGCTATTCTTTCTGGTATCTCCAAAGACTTCAGAGTTAGTGGGAGAGATTGTTTGTTTGTATATATGTGACTGTAAGAAGACTACTACCTCAGCTACTTTGACTGAAAGTTGCTTCTATTTTATAGTTGCCATTTTCCAATTCCATGCTGTCATTTCCTGCCCTCTTCCTCTTCTGTACCACTATTATACCCTTCAGATTCACAGCAGACTCCTTCAGGGTGGCTGCAATTTACAAAGCTAACAATCTCTCCCCACAGAGACTTGAACTGCTTCCTGCCCACAGGTTGCACCTGCCACCAAAAGTCTGGTCAGAGTAATTCTAAATAAGGACTTAGCTTTGATGCTAAGAGAGGCTGGGTTAAGAGTGGGCGGTTGAGAGAAACACAGAGCGTTCCCTTTTTTTTGTTCCCTGATAAATAAATAGGGTTCTGCAATTAATGCAAGTAATTGGATACTGACAGGCAAGGTATTCAACATCGTTTCCCCCCACCCACCACCCCAATCTTGATCCCTCCAAATATGTTAGACTCCAACTCAGGGGTGGGATTCAAATTTTTAACAACCAGTTCTATGGGCGTGGCTTAGTTGGTGGGTGTGGCTTGGTGGTCATGTTATTGGCTGGGCATGGTCAACTTAACATCACTCACATCAAGGCACGCATCTCCTCACCTGGCCTCTCATGACTGTGGGGATGCTACAACAGTCGTAAGTGTGAAAAATGGTCATAAGTCACTTTTTTCACTGCCATTGTAACTTTGAATAGTCACTCCACACAAGCAAAGTACCAGCAAAGGAGGGGGAAAAAAACTCCAGAGAAGTTCCTGAGACAGGAAGTCTAGTCCTGCCAAGAATGTAATAAGGGCTAACGGAGAGGCAGTTTCTGTAAGCAACACCAGAATGTTTCCTTCCTGCCTTCCTTACAGGATTAGGCCAGTAATTTCTTCTAACAACCGGTTCTCCGAACTGCTTAGAATGTTAACAAACGGTTCTAGCGAATAGGTGAGAACTAGTAGAATCCCACCCCTGCTCCAACTCCCATTACTGGATGTACTCTGAGGGCACCTAGTGAAGGAAAGGAGCCTGTAACTCTCAAATATTAGCATAAGAAAGGACATCATTGAGAATTAAGCATTGAATAACAAACCGCACAAAAGTGAATTAAAATTAAACGTTGAATAACAAACTGCACCAAGGGTAATAACAATTCTGGGTGATGATTTATTTCCCTGGCTGTTCTAGGTCTAAGCATTTCATGCAATGTTGACATGGGAAAGTATACTGATCAAAAAAGCAGAATGCACTGAGTAAGAAAGCAGGTATTAATCAGAAAGGGGTGGGGTGGGAAAATAGGTGATTTTGTACAGATGCCTAAAAGTTTATCTAAGTACTTCTGTTGTTCTGTTGCTTAGCACTAATTTCAGGAGTGTATACAAGGCAATTCTTATCGCTACCCACCCACTCTTCAAACAAATGATAATATTTTTAATTCACTTTTGAGTTCTTAAAAAATGTGGCCTTGCCGCACTTGTAGTCTATAGTGAACAAGGTTGCAAAACAGTTCCAATATGTTCTGAGCTGCTAGCTGCAGACCAGTGATTTGAAAACATTTTCCAAATAATGGGTAAGAAATTTGGGCAATGGGCAGATATAAAATTTAACATTTAATCAATTGCTACCAGTGGTGTGTTCCCCATTCTTGGATAGCAAGAATCAAAGCATGTCTGGAATACAGCAAACTCTTCTACAGCATAATCTTGGCTGTTTTTGTTTGAAAGTACAGCAACCTGCTTTGAGGTATAAATGTAAATAAGTATGTATGTATTTGTGTGGTTGAGAATGACTTTCAATGATCATAGTATGCTTTTATTTTCCTGCCCGAATGAGTATAAAACCACACTCTTTGACTGGTAAAGACTGTATTTTTCTTCATCTTCACTATCTTTTCCTAGTCCCAACTTCTCTTTTTTCCCCCGAGCCTTTCATTTCTCTAATCATCATATTTTATTTCATAAGTATTTTTTTAGTTCTTAAGCTTGTTTCCAAGTAAAAAGTAAACTTGTGAAATTAAAAACCAGAGTTTAAATTGATCCCCCAGAGGAATGAGAATCGGACTCCCATTGTCACCAGACTCTTGAGCATCATATCCCACTGACTAACTGACCAACTGACTAACTGTCTGCCCATCTCCCTCATAAAGGGACTCTGGGTAGTGTACAATAAAATATTAAAACATAGAAACAAAAGTTCAAAAGAGGCAAAGATTATTAAAAACACTGTTAAAAATTAATTAAAAGGCAAAGAGAGGGCTTTCAGGGCAACCACCACCCCATGGCTGCATGCTCCTATGTGAACCAGAAGCAAGGCCCCACTGCCATGTTTTCATACCTTTCTGAAAGGCCAAGAGATTGGAGCCATGCCTCACCTCAGGGGGAGAGTGTAGCACACAAAGTGGGAGACAAAGGCAGAGAAGGCTCTCTTCCTGGACCCTGCCAGTCAAAATTCTTTAACTGACAGAGACTGCAACATATTTTATCTGCCTGGCCGAGTGTGATGGGACAGTGTAATGGTACAAAGACAGTTCCTTAGGTAACCTGTCCTCGTGTTTGATGAATTCTCTTTCAGACTACTTGAAAGATGATTTGGACAACTATGTGAAGCAATTGCAGATAGTCAGAGTTGTTCGGCAGTTGGAGAGAAAGGGCTTAATAACTGCCCGATTACTTGGTGCCAGTGTTGCCAAGGGTGATGTCCTCACTTTCTTGGATGCTCATTGTAAGTAATAAATCTCTTTACTGATAAAGTTTGCCTTTTTTTCCCCTTTGGCATGCTGTGCCAGTTCATAAATGTGTATGCGTTAATTCAGTGTCTCTCAACATGTCTTAGAGTTGCCAAGGTTGAGAATCACTCCATTAATTGATTGCTCTACATCTTGGGTTGGTTCACAGAACCATATTTGCCCTTTGATCAATCTCCATCCATTAATGAGCAGCCCAGGCATTGAATGGGTATGGCAGACTTAATGCTACTGATTCTTATTGTTGTGTCAAACATAATAACTTCAGTGAAATCAAACAATTGGATGCCGCTTGAATGACCTAATCAACAGACTGTACTAAAAATGCTATTTTTTGTTCAAGATGTTAAGGCAATAAAACTGCATCCAACATGCCCAGATGTAGGTTGGATGCATCATCATTCAATATTTCATTACAAAGGAAATGAAGTAGAGTTGCTAGGAGTTGGGCACCTATGCATTCAATGCATTTATTTAATGTACATACAAGTGTCTCTGTCCTGGAGGCATGTTCTGATTCTCTTGTATAGAGTATGTGGTATAAAAAAATCCTTAGATAAATTTGATTCCCAGAATGTTCAGTAAATTTACTTCAGCCATTTGTGCCTCCATTTTTAGACCTTATATGATTGTTTCCCTCCATGGTTCTATTTTTGTTCATTTTGTCAAATTTTGCAGATTACTTAATGGCTCAATTTCTTTGGAAGATAGACTCAAGAGTCAGAAGGATATTGACAGACTTTAGCATTGAGCCCTATCCAATAAGATGCAGTACAGTGACAAAGTAAGGTCCCCTACTTACGCAGGGAAAACCAGATGCATAGGCACAGAACAGGCAATACCTAGCTCAACAGTAGTGCCTGTGAAAGGGATCTTGATGTCCTGGTGGACTACTGCTTAAGTATGAATCAGCAGTGTGCTACAGCTGCCAAAAAACCCAACAGAGTCCTTGGCTGCATCAACAGAGGGATAGCATCAAGTCAGACCGCATTTGAAATACTACACCCGGTTCTGGTTACCGCCATTCAAAAAGGATGCTAAGGCCCTAGCAAGAGTGCAGAGAAGAGCAAGAAGGATGATAATGGGTCTGGAGGCTAAATCATACAATTAACAGCTAAGGGAACTAAGTATGTTTAGTCTAATGAGGAGAAGGTTTAGGGGAGATCTGATAGTAGTCTTCCAATACTAGAAGGGCTGTCATAGGGAAGAGGGCATCAATTTATTCTCCAAAGCACCTGAGGGCAGGACAAGAAGCAATGGATGGAAGTTCATCAGAGGGAGATCCAACCTGGAAATAAGGAGGAATTTCCTGACAGAACAATTAATCAGTGAAACGGCTTGCTTCCTCGAGTTATTGATGCTCTATCGCTGGAGGTTTTCAAGAAATGATTGGACAACTATGGTATTTGTCCAGGATAGTATAAGGACGCTTGCCCTGGATAGGGGCAGAATAGGGATTGGGATAGACGGCTCCACGGTCCCTTCCAGTCCTATGATTCTATAATTCTATGTATTGAGATTGACATCTGGACACATTAATAATACAAGTTTTCTTGACAGCAATATGGAAGTGCTTTGACATTGTGTTTTTCTGGGAAGGCATTTTTTATTTGTCCAACTAGCCTATGGCCCAGGTAATTCCCAAACTGTCTACAATCCAAATACCAGCCAGATTTGATCCTGGGAAGGTTCTGAGCCCAGAAAAAATCAGGTGTCCTCATCTTGCAAATGTTAAGGCATAAATATTGAAGTTTTTTAAAAGAAAATTGGGGGTCCGTATGACTTTCCATGGGTAAGAAAGTGAACATTATGGGAGAAATGTTTTCAGAGAAGCAGTTCCTGAGCATCAGGTACCTCTGAAAAACCCTGAAAGGTAGAAGTGACCGCAGCAACTGTCAGGTGCAAAGAAAGAACCAGGAATAGGAGTTTAGTCCAAAGCACTTCAAGTTTGTTCCATGCTACCTATACACAAGAATCTGATCTACTAATGGTCAAGGTAAATTGGTGCTAGATAAAAGTAAATGGAATTCAAGAGGGCCTGGTCTTAGGTCTCTTGTGGGAGCATAGGGACTTCAAACTGATGATGCATTTGACTCCTCCCTTGGGCTCAGCCTGGTCATCTCCTACAACAGCAGCATTTGAAAATAGGCATTTATTTTTGCAGAGATGGTGTAGCAATTCCTGTTTCTTTTTCCTCAGGTGAATGTTTCCATGGATGGTTAGAGCCTCTCCTATCGCGCATTGCTGAAGAGCCCACTGCTGTGGTCAGTCCAGATATCACCACCATTGACTTGAACACCTTTGAATTTTCAAAGCCCATCCAATATGGGAAGCAGCACAGTCGGGGAAACTTTGATTGGAGTCTCACTTTTGGCTGGGAGGCTATCCCTCAACACGAGAAGCAGAGAAGAAAAGATGAGACTTACCCAATCAAGTAGGTTCAAGCTGAAAATTTGATACCATTGTTAATGTGTCTGGGGAATTGATGGGTGGGAAGAGATTGCATTAAAAAAAACGCACAGTTTCCCAAAGCATAGATTTCAGTTTTGGAAATCCTGAAATCAACTATATCCCATTTTTTTTCTCTTTACATCCCACTGTTGAATTTTAGTCATGAAATAAAAATCACAGTATTTCTGTTTTTGACAGAAATTGGGAGTTTGGGGTTTTGCCTGGATCTTGGATCTCTTAGTCCAATCTTCTCTAAACTGGTTGCCATCCAGATGGGTGGGCTTCAACTCCTAAAATTCTCACCAGGGTGACTGGAATTGTGTCAGCCTGAACATCTGGAGCAAGTCCTCAGATTGAAAAAGGCATCGGTGCCGTTGGCTCTGATAGGCAAGATGGATCGCAAAACAAATTCAATAACTAAATAAATGAAATATACTAAAACGGTCACTTAATAGGAATGAGACATAGATGTTGAGGCACATTCCTGAAGAGTTAGCCAAGGAAATACATCTAGATGACACAGCGTTTCCTGTTAAAGTAGCATCTGTATGGAATCAAATGGAAGAGAATATCTGAAGGTCTGCACTAAGATATTCTTCTCATCTTCGAATCAAAGTGGAAGGGATTGCTTTCTCTCCATTGTGCTCGAAGTGGTTACCTTAGACCAGTGGTGGCTAACCTTTTTGGGCTCTTGTGCCAAAAATTGTGCGCATACTTGCACGCTCGCAGTCGCGTGCCAGCACCCAGAAGGCAATGCGCCCCCCCATGCCCTCTACGCATGTGCGTGCAATCCCCACCCACCCATCCCATGCCACCCCCTTACCTGCACTGTGCCTCACAGCTGATTTTTGTCTGGTTTGAGGCCTTTCTCGGCCTCCCAAAGGCTCGAGGAAAGCTTCTGCAGGCTTCTGCAGGCTTTGCAGGCCATTTTGTTACTTCTGGTATTTTCGGAAAAACAGAAGTGATGAAACAGGGTTAACTTTCAGCCTGCAGAAGCCTTCCTCAAGCCTTTGGGAGGCCGAAAAAGGCCGCAAACCCACTGAAAATCAGCTGTGAGGTGCACACATGCGCAGTGAGGTAAGTTTGCCTGCAGTTCACGTGCCGGCACAAATGGCTCTGCGTGCCACCTGTGGCACATGTGCCATAGGTTCGCCATCACGGCCTTAGACTGTTGTCTTTCCCAAAGTTCAGAGTAGCGATGTGAGGAAACCATTATATGCCTGAAGCCTGTAGGTTTAGCCTTCGTTATTGGGTAACTGGATCTGTGCTGATGTTTAATACTTTACAAAACATGGATATAGTATCATAAATTACAGTGACAGCTTGTACTTACAGGTATTGTATTTACTGCTCCCATTTAAAAACCAGAAAGGGCCTCCCCTGGCATCCCATGAGCCAAGCCTAATTAGGCAGAATAATCATTTTTCTTCTCCAGTTGAAAGGAAACAAGAACAATGCCACAGGCAAGAACGAACCATTAGGCTACCTCTCAAAAGACAGATAAGGAATATCAAAGAAAGAAAGTTTTTCTAACTTTTACCACCTTTGCCCTGCACTTCTAAGGAGTAGTTGAAACCCTTGATGTGGCAGAAAAATCAGAAATAATTCAGGAAACCACAATTTAACCATGTTTCATACTTCATGGTAAACCATAGTTCCAATAAATAAACTAGTAACAAATAGTGAATTACTGCCCTAAAAACAATGGCTTATTCCTTGTTCCTGTTTGCACATTGCACTAAACTGCAAAGAAAACATGTACTTTCTGCTAAAGCCAGTTAGGAAGCTTTAATGAACAATCCAGAGGTGTATCTTGCAGCATTTTCCCATACTAAAGCTCCTGAAAAGCCCAAACTTTTTCAAGCGCCTTTCTTACTGATCTTTGATCTGTCATGGCTGAACTCTGCCTATAGAAATGCTTATTTAATAGTTTAAGCTGGCTGCCAAGGTGGGGGTGAGGGGATGGGATGCAGCCTCCTCCTTGAACTCTTGAGCGAAGGGAGGTCATGATGTGCTTCATTCCCACAAACGAAAGAAGTTATTGAATCTCTTCAGGCTCCAGTCAGGTCTTGCTGCTCGGTGAAAGTTCTCATGAAGAAGATAATTGTTTCCTTGAACCTTTCACTGTTTATCTTAAATTCAGTCATTCCAATGCCTTACAAATGCCTGCTTGCATTTTTAAATTCTGGCCATATATTTAGTCTTAACAAAACATAACAAAGGGGTCTGCCGCTTGCATTGTAACAATAGATTTGGGTTGAGCAGGAACAGGACAGATGCATTCAGCTGGGACCCATTTTAGCAGCAGCACTAAGGTTTAGTGTCCTTAGCAAGTCCTGTTCCATTCCCCAGGCCTCCTCTATCCCCCTCTCCCTGCCCCTGGCTTTCTTCTGTTGAAGCCCAGAGAAGGAAACTAGAATTATCCATGTCTACTTGTAAAGTAACTTGAATCCCTTGATATATTCCAAATTTAGGGTAACCCTGATGTAGCCAGAGTTCCCCCAAGTTCAGCTATGATGAAGAATTCAGATTAGTTTAAGAAGGAAATAGTTCAAAGTTACTACAGCACTGAAAAAAGTGACTTATTTTTCACACTTATGACTCTTGCAGCATCTCCATGGTCACATCATGATTTACATTTGGATACTTGACAGCTGACTCACATTTACGACGGCTGCAGTGTCCCAAAGTCATGTTGATCCTCTTTGGCAATCTTTTGACAAGCAAAGTCCATGGGGAAGCCAGATTCACTTAACAAGTGTGTTACTAACTTAAGAACTGCAGCGATTCAATGTGGCGAGAAAAATCGTAAAATAGGGCAAAGCTCACTTAACAAATTTCTCACTTAGCAACATACATTTTGGGCTCAAATTGTGATTGTAAGTTGAGGACTAGTCTCCTTAGCTCATTGAGCTGATCGAATTCACTCTAGCCTTATTTCCAGAACTTTTGTAAAAAGTTACATGCTTGTTTTTTGGTTCGATTCCATGAACCGACCGAAGTTCCATCTGTCAAGTAATGGATCCTTTTCTGCTCTCCAGTGCCTGGACAATATATATCCATATTTGAGCAGCAGGAGCTATTTCAGAACTTTGCTTTTGAGTTTGGTTTACTTTAAATATTTTATGTGAAAACACTTATCTCTGCAAGTGTACCAGGCATAGTTTGTTATCTTTCATTTTTCATCTGTAGGCTGTAGTTAAACAGCTCTTATTTCACGTGCTTGAAAAAACCACTTTATGGAACTGAAACTGGGATCAAATCCTTTAAATGGTAGTTTAAAATCTAGATGTATTCTCAAAGCCGTTTTAGCATCCTCTCAATGTAATGCAAATATATATATATATATACACAATTTTTAAGGCTTGTTTAGAACCTTTATAGTTCATATAGCGAATATTAATGACACAAATATTACTGCTAAACAGTTAAAAGATATATCTGCTAAGTATCACAGCTCCTCTTGCAAAGGAATTTTAAGAGCTATAGCCTTGTAAGATGCTAGAAATTTCTCCTTTCATTTTTAGAATCTCTTGTAGCTAATTAAATTAGGATTAAATTTAAAAAAGGTTTGCAGTACTAATAACCACCTTCTAAGACTGCTTCGGCACTCTTCCCCCATACCACATCATCAGAAAAAAAAAAAAAAGAACTGGAGTGATTTATCTCCCAGGTGTCATTGGGTACAGTACAAGGTTTGTAAACTGCCTGTGAGACCCACACTTCCTTGAGAGACAATGACAGGTCCTTCCCCCCCCCCCCTGCCTGTATCAAAGCAGGATAATAAGGGCTGTGACATGAAAGAACCAAGGTTTATTCCTCCCTCTTTCAAACTCTGCCAGCCCCTTGACTCTCTTAGCAGTGGACAACTGAAAAGTCATTAAGGTAACCAGCCTCTCCACTTCTTAAAGCTTGAGGTGACCTTGAAATTCATGGTGCCAGCCATTCGATACCGGCTTGGCCCTCCTCCCTTCCAAGAGGGAGACAAAATCCTGTTCCTTTGGCCTCAAGTACAGCTCTTCTTTGTGCAGAGGTCAAACAGGAGGCTGTTCTGTCTCAATGAAAGAGGCACAGAGATTCCTTTTTGTTATTGCTTACGGAGAAAGAGAGAGAGAGAGAGACATTGGCAACTTGGCTTTTCAGCAGCTCCTAATCTCCTCTACAACAGAAGCTGCAACAGAGGGCCGGTTTCAGAGAAAACTTTGCTGAAGCTAGTTTCTGGTGCCAGTCTCAGCTTTACTTTTCCTTAAGACAAACGAACATGCAAGCAAGGACAAGGAGTTCTGGGTTATCTAATAATGAAAGTAGTGCAATTGGCAAAACTCTATCCGCAAATACTCTTATTTGTGCCCAGCCTGTGCAGTAATGGTACCCAAGGATAAATAGAGGCCCTATGTCTGCCTCTGAAGGGCCATCCTTGAAGCTCTTAAGGAATGTGATCCATCCCAAACACGGTGGTTATTTCTTGTTTTTGGATGCAGTTAATCAAGAACATGCCTCAAATTATCAGGTTTGAGTCCTGTCCCGTTCCCTCCCCCACAATCAGTCTCATCTAATTCTGGAATTAGCAGCTGCTGTCTTGTCAGCAAGTGTTTGAACTACCAGGCAAAATGTTTTGGGCAAAAAGTGGCAGGAGGGATGAGGGAAGAACATGTTTGTGTGAACATTTACAACACACATGCACAGTCACGCATATTGACTTCATTGCATTTGTTTAGATTTCATATGTACAGTCCTGATTTTTGAACAATACAGTGATTTATATTAAATAAAAATTGGTGTACACGCATCAGTTTGGTTTGGATTTTTTGGTTTTGTTTTTAAAAAGTTGTAGATGATACTGCTGTCTAAAAACTTTTCAGAGAATAGGAGTGAAAGGGTTGCCTCTCACCCCCGCAGTACACATAATTTATTTGTTCTTTTAAGTAAAGCTTTACCATTCAGATAGGCGTGATTTGTGATTCTTGACTCTTTTGATAACTGGATCAGGAAATTGTGGGTACTGTTTGGGGAGGGTGTGCGTTAGTTTAATGCTTTTATTTTATTTTTAAAATTCCATTTTTATGCTTCCTTTTATATCAAAGATGCTTTACACATAATGTAGAAAACTAAGATTTTTAGGATACTTGGTAGAGGACTAGAAAATACATGGAGGGTCAGCTTTTTGGATAATCAGTGGGAAAATAGTAAAATGGAAAATATTCACATATTTTGAATATTCAAATATTCCAGTCATCTTCACATCTTTTGCAATATTTTTTTCCTTTTAAAAAAACATGAAACAGAGGGGGCGTGCATAAGCGCACCAACGTGCCTACCGTCCCTGTCCTATTGTTTCTCTTATTCTTCTTTTATTTTTCTTATATGTACCCATTTCATGTATTCACAACTATGTATACACTTATACTTATTATCTTGTAAACAATTGGCAAATCAAATAAATAAATAAAGAGTAGTGTAGTAAAAGCCTGAGATCACTTCTCAAAGGCTGCTTCAGTACAAGGGAGTTTGAAAATTGCCTTTGATATAGTGCAGAAAAAGCCTTGCCTTCCGATTTATGTGATCTGCTTTGATCACGGCTTGAGAAGTTCTCCAGAAGTCATTGCCAATATCTTCCAGCTTCTTTCTGCATTGCCTGTGCTAAGCAGAGACACTAGAAATTCAAGAATATCTAAAGTGCCATACAATACTTTCCCCTGCTTTAGCTGTTGTATCCTAGTTTGAGCTTTCCTTGACACTTCACTCAGAAATGTCAGAGAGAGTGAAGACTTCAGTTCAGAGAGAAGATTTCAGTTTTCCATAATTCCCTTTCATAATATTTCTATGCTTCTTTTGCAGGACTCCTACATTTGCCGGTGGTCTCTTTGCCATTTCCAAGTCCTATTTTCAACATATTGGCTCCTATGATGATCAGATGGAAATCTGGGGAGGGGAAAATGTAGAGATGTCTTTTCGGGTAAGAAAGAAAGCTACAAAATATTCCTTGGAAGTAGAGCTATCTTTTGATATAACTTTTTTTAAAGGTGGGGGAGCTAAGCAGTTCTCTGAAAAAAAGCTATCTTTAAAGAGTAGGTGAGAACTAATAGATTGTATTAGTCCTAGTGAAAATTTTGGGCTCCACATGTCAAAATTTTGGAAAATGCCTGACTCTACAGGCATGTCACACACCTTGCATCCCCGAACAAAAGATATTCATTTATTTTTAAAAAATGCATTCCAATCTTGAGTGGTGATGCTAAGTATTGTATAGCAGGGGTCGCCATCCTTTTGGACCTCAGGGACCACCAAACTCATAATTTTAAATCCCGGGGACCACTAATATAAATTTTGACTGACAGTGGCTTGCTGACATTGGTGGGAGGGAGGGAGGGAGGGAGAGAGAGAGGGAGAGAGAGAGAGAGAGAGAGAGATCTGATCTAATCTCTCTCTCTCTCTCTCTCTCTCTCACACACACACACACACACAAACACACAGAGGCAGGGGTGGGATTCAAATTTCTTAACAAGCTGTTCTGTGGCATGGCCTAATTTGTGGGGTGGCTTGGCGGTCATGTGACTGGCTGGGCATGGCTTGTATGTAAATATAATAAATATGTAAATATTGAATTTTTTATTTTAAAAAAGCAACTTTTACCCAAAATCAGGCAAAGTAGGCAGGCAGATTGAGTTGCTCACATCACAGATTCAAAAATGGGCTGCGTAAGCGATGGGCAAGTGCCCATGAAGCTCCACTCGCACGAGTGGTGGGCCCTTGTGATCACACGTGAACTCCACTTGTGCTAGCGGAGTGCAAATGGAGATTCATGCGCAAGTGGAGGGCGCTTGTGCTCGTGCATGAAACTCCCCTCATGCGAGCAGAGGACGCTCGTGTGTGAAGCTCCATTCACGCATAGCTTGATTGGAACTGTGCAGGCGTGCATGTGCCTGCCACTCACACACCTCTCCCGCTCTTCGTTGGCACAGACCGCCAAGGGAGAAAAGGTTGGGAACCACTGCTTCAAATGGGCCTACAAAGTTATTGCCATGTTTCTTCACATAAGTGTTATTTCTACTCTGTTATGATTTAGGTTGTATTTACAACCTAATGCTTAAAACGTGTGAACGTGGTGTCAAGTAATAACAGTATCGTGTAACCTAGCAGTGCATAGAATTAGTTGCAGTAAATTGAAAAGTCATGATAGATCAACCTGGGATTGATTACATAGATTTGATGCACATTATCCTAGCTCTGTGCTTTCAAAATGGAATGGAGTTATGTGATAGTAGTCGCAATCATAGCAGAAGAAAGTCATATTAAAGAAACCAGTAAAAAGAAAGTAAAGGGGAGAAAATAGAAGTAGTAAAGGAAGAAAGTTTTTAAAAGGAAGTAAAGAAAGTAGAAGTAGTAAACAAAGTAGTAAAATTTAAGAAATGGCTCTGTTGCTATAGAAACAAAACATGACATGGTTTGGAGGCTGACTAACTACTTCTTTGTATTTGGATTCTCCGTTCCGACTGTCCATCTGGGAGTAAAACTTTCATTTGCTGTCCAATCCCGGGACAGTGATCACAGTGCAGGTGCAAAGATGCCGCAGCATTGGTTCTTAAACTGTTTGGCCCAATTACCCCTTTTCCTCCTTTCAAATCATTACTCCCCCCCCCCAAAAAAAAACAGAACCCACATCCTGCTGTTTTACACAAGCATCTTGACAGCAGCAGTCCCAAATTGGATCCTCAGCTTAGAAACAAGCAATTAGAAATGGTTCTCTTACCCCCAGGATTCTCCACAATTACTCCCAGTTTAAGGGATCAACTGATTCTGAGATACAGTGAATTATAATTTGTTTCTCTAAGTATGTATACCAAATTTGATCATAATGTACGCATCAACTGCAATTTTTTAAAAAAATCGTAGTATTGTTAGAAAATTATAAAAGTATCTGGGAAAATTCAAGCATCATCTATTTTACTATTGATATTGTGAAGAAGAAATTGAACTAAGGATCTACAGAAGTTTTTTTCCCCAATATTTTGCAGTGCAGATGCTTTGTTGATAACTTTGCACATAAAGATTTTTTTAAATGTTAAAAGCGAGGTCTTAAATGCTGTGTAGAATGCCACCCTGTGGCAAAAAATATAAGAAACAGGAATACTGTTTTTTTTTTTTTAATGTGAGGCTAAGAACCTCTGGTCTGAGTTGCAATTTCCTGTAACTACCTGAAACAAATATAAGTTTTTCTACCTTCAGTAGGTACCTTTAAAATGGGACAGTCGTCTCAGATTAAATAAAACTACAGAAATACAAAAATACTTTTGTTTTGCTTTTGTCTAACTAAAGTTGGGCATAATGTTAAATTCAAGGTCACATTCCATCCAGGTTAATGCATGTGTTTGTGTATTTTTTTCTGCTTTGCTTTTGCTCTGATGACATTTTGTTACCCAGTATTAAAAATATTATTATTAATAATAATAATAAGACAAACCCAACCCTAGCAGAGAACATGTTTTGCAAGACCAAGAATGGCAGAGAACTAGAGTCCTTAAGCATGAGTGTAATCTCAAGGCACAGACATGAACTTGCCTTGCAAGCCTTGCTTGTGGCGTGTTCAAAATTGATACCAAGTTTTTTTTAATGTGTCAGAGGTAAAATTATTTATTACACATTTAGCATATGCCTTAATTCATAAATGTATTACTAATTAAATTACATAAGTTAGATTTTTGTCCTGGTCCTCAGTGACTAAGAATGGCTCCCAGATGGAAAAGATTATTTTGTTTATCAACATAGTATTACCAGTATTTATCCAATCCAGTTGCAGGTCGAGTAAATCTTTAACTAAAGCCACCTCTCTGAGATGCAGATTCTTTGGAGAGTGGTCCATTCTCAGTTGAACCAGTCCCAAGTTTTGGTCAGAGAAAATTGGGGTATTGCATTTCCTCAGACTTGAATACTATTGATCTTGGGAGCTCCTTTATTTTCTGGGGCAGGACTCCAGTTTACCTTTTGAAAGGACCACTCTCTTTTAAAGCATGGGAAAAACTGAAATCAGACATGAAAGATATAGACCTTTTCTCCTTAAGATATTGCCTGCAACACAACTGCCACCCCATCTTCCTAAGAAGATGCTCTTTCGTGGTGGCATGGTGGATAGAATGCAGTATTGCAGCCTAATTCTTCCCACTGCCCAGGAGTTCGATCTTGACCGGTTCAAGGTTGATTCAGCCTTCCATCCTTCCAAGGTCAGTAAAACGAGGACCCAGATTGTTGGCGGCAATATGCTGACTTTGTAAACTACTTAGAGAGGGCTATAAAGCGCAATAAAGTGGCATATAAATGCTATTGCTACTTGATGGCTGCTTCTATCCTGAAGGAGCCTGATTTTAGGCAGCTGGAATCTGATCCTGATTCCTGTTTTAAAAAGAAAAGATGTGCAAATTTCACATCTTATGTCCTTCGCCTGGCTCCAACATTCAGTGTATGAGTTTGTTGTTTTATCGTGGTTTGAATGGCATTCTTCCCCTCTGCCTTGCATCCTCAGGTTTGGCAGTGTGGAGGCCAGCTGGAGATAATCCCCTGCTCCGTAGTCGGCCATGTGTTCCGTTCCAAGAGTCCACACACCTTCCCCAAAGGGACTCAAGTCATTTCTAGGAATCAAGTGCGCTTGGCAGAAGTCTGGATGGATGACTATAAGGAAATCTTCTATAGAAGGAACCAGCAGGCCTCCCAGATGGCCAGAGAGGTATGAAGTACTTTCCTTGAGAACTACTTCCCTTAATGTACAAAATCTTTAGGTCTTGTCTTTACATTCTATATATTTGATTTAATGGATTCTGTTTCCTCTAAATAAAGACAAGATTCTCCAGCAGAATTGCTGGGAACCTTACTAAAAGAATAGAAATTTTAGAGCATTTTCCAATTATTATTTCAATGACTTAGACACTCTGAGGTGACCTTATTTCTAGAACCAGAGTGACTGGGAAGAGATACAAAAACAGATCCATTGATAGATTATAAAATCGAGTTTTGGCTTTATTCTCAAGGACCTGCAAGATCTAATGAAGGAGAGAAACTTGGAGGATCTCAGGTGTAGAGTGTTCCATATCTGAAAGTAATCCTAGAAATCAAATTCTATCTGGAACTGTCTCAGATTTAATCTATGGATTAAATAAATTAAAGAATAAAGACAGTGAAGACCTTTAGTTATTCTAGTAAACAAATTGAAAATGGCCCGGTTGTTTGCTTTATGTGATTCTTTTTTAAAAATGCATGTGTTATGGCTTTATTAGAAAACATACGGAGACCTCAGTGAGCGACTGCAGCTGAAGGAACAGTTACATTGCAAAAATTTCACTTGGTACCTACAAACTGTTTACCCTGAGATCTTCATTCCAGACCTCACACCAGCTTTCTATGGAGCGGTAAGTGAAAATACAATTTATCAAGATAACCTATAGAAATAACAGGGTGTCTGGATGAATAAAATCACTACAATTATGCGAGCATCTAGTAATATCAAGCACACTGAAGTCAAAAAGAACATTAGAAGTGAATACATCAAGAGAATGAAGAAGATCTCTAAAGTTGTTGGAGAATTGCAACCCAATCTCTGGGAACTAAATCTGATACATTCATTGGGGTGGGTGTATTATAAATTCACTCACAAACTGGCTTACAGTTGATTGAAAGACCTAAGGAAACAAATCTATCCTTATTTGGCTCTGCATTTCCCATTCAAGCTGTCTTGCCATTGACTGATTACTTGAATGTTCATAAATATTGTAATTCCCAATTGAGGCCAATTGAGCTCAGAAGGGAGATAAAAGTGTACATATGTTTAGAAAAAGAATGCAACATTAAAACAACACTTTTGTTTAAGCTGTTTAGCTAAAACCCGAAGCTTTGTATGGGTGTTCTGTTAATATGCTTCTAATTTTATTAAATCTATTCCACTACAGATTAGAAATGAAGGTGCCCAGCAGTGCCTGGATGTTGGAGAAAACAACCATGGTGGAAAACCTTTAATTTTGTATCCCTGTCATGGGATGGGAGGCAACCAGGTATGGGCTTCATGAAAATGCTCCCATCCTTATCTCTCCTCCTGCAAACATTGAATCCAGGTTATACCTTTCAAAAAGAGGAAAGAAGTAAAGAATCTTTGCTGAAATTAGAATGATTGCAGGAAGCAAAAGTATTCTATACTTTTATGGAGAAAGTATTAGAACATAGATTAATACTATAACTAGAACATAGAAAAATGAAAAATAGATGTAAAGAATCATAATATTGAAGCTGCTTGGAAAAGTGAAGAAAGGATTGTGCTGCAAAGAGCCATGGAAGCATTGGGAGTTACAGTAATAGGAAATATTAAAATTTATGAGTAGAAGTTGCTATGAACGAATGGCAGTTGCAAAAATGTGGATGAGAGATTATATACCACAAAAAAGATAATTTTAAGAACAATGACAATAAGCTGCACTGATTAAAAGAGCAGATGAAATGGAGACAGATACGATTAAAAAATTGTTTTAGAAGAGGGCTAAATAATGAATATTCAGCAGATGAAATTTCAGCTAAAGGGAAGAAAGTATTTTGACTGACGTAAGGGAATAAGTATGTGTGTGTGTGTGTGTGTGTGTGTGTGTGTGTGTGTGTGTGTGTGTATGTATATAT